CCTCCACTTGTTGGTGCAGGTCTCTTGGTGCCATTTGTCTGCAGTTTAGCATCTGAGCTAACCCTCTGAGACTCTAATGAAATAGGTGCAACCAGCTCTTCCATTGTCTGCAGGCAAAGAGCAATGTCATTCCTATGATAGGCAATTGACTTGAGAACATTTAAGGTAATACAAAACGCCCCAGGTCCTAACTCAGTTCTGTTCCATGATTTTCCTTTTTAAACATTGTTTCTTCATTCTAATTGGTCTTATCAATTTAGACCCAAAAATTCTTCTGACCTTAACCAGGCTTTCTGTATCTCGATCACCATAATATGACTCATGTTCATTGTGTCCGTCAGCCTCTCTACATGAAACACACAGGAAAGAGAGAGAAAAAGTAAGCCAAATTGCCAAAATGGATATGGAACAAGCTGAAAAATAAAGGCTTCTGGCTCATTAGCTAAGCATATATTCTCCATAAAATCCTGAAGAAATGCAAGCAATTCCAAAAATATGAAAGCCAGAAAACGTTTGCTCCTCTTTTAAACTGTCTGAAAAGTGGAACAATTACATGTACTCTAAAAATGGTCTTAGAAGCATGTAATACATCATACAGAAATATGCAAATAATTTTAAAAGGTGGTTGCAATGTAAATATCAGTAAAAGATTTACCTAAGATCACTTCCTTTCCTGTATATGCGAATAGATGGGTAGCCTTGTATGTGATTCCTGAATATTTATTATCATTCATTGTTAAGCAGAAAGACAAAATATGGAGTAATAAATATATTAAAACAAAATCAACTCAACAAGCAAGGTAATCAACAAAGTTTTGGCAGAAGTAGTATAACCAAAGAATATAATGCCCTCGGTCAGGTAATAAAAGATGCCGCAGATAGCAAGTGTTCTATAGAAAAATTCAGGAGTGGAAGGATTTCCTAAAATATGCAGCTTTACAATAAAAGAACTGAAGAAACTATAAATCCTGTAAAACAGCATGGTATTGAAACTATGCACTAGTTTGCCAGAACAATAACATAAGCTCATATGCAAACAAAACACCAAGAATAATAACCAAAAAAAAAAAAAAAAAAAAAAAAAAAAAAAAAAAAAAAAAAAAAAAAAAAGTCCACAAGTACCAATGAAAATCAAAATCTTGTCTTCTAAATACGGAGTAATAACTAAGAATCAGTTATCACAGAAGTGATGATTTATTGTAAAACAGGATGTCTTTACCAAAGAAGATTCCATGAGATAAGTTATTATTCATTTTAGAAGTACCTAGTGCATAAATCAACTTCTTCAGTGCAATCAACCTTCCCCAAAAGGATTCGCCCATCCATTTCTGGGTCATATCTAGAAGGCAAAAGACAAAATTGCATAAGAGATTTGAATGGTACACAGTGTCACAGTGCTAGAACTTCATTTCAGATATCCATTTCATTTCAGAATGAAATGAAGTTCAGCAAACAAAAATAGTCTTTGACCTTGTAGCATAAATGACAAAAGAACCAACTAGACCTTTCTCTTATAATATTTTCTGCTTTCTCCCATGAAGGTTTCTGATATCCAAAGACCAACAGAAAAAATAAAAATTAGTTAGCACCCAGTAGCAACATTTCATATGAAGAATTCTTAAACAAACCATCTCACACATTAGAATGACATCAAATCGATGCTATACGTATGACCAATAACATGAAAATTTAATGAATACAAGTGGTTATAGCATTATAGCCCACATAGTTTTTCAAGTAAGCAAAGTGGCATAAAGGAAGAGGAGAGTGTATTAAGTAGGTGAAGCTAGAAAAATATGAATGTGCAGAAGTGAATAAAAAGTACCAAACGGTTGCTCCAATGGCACCAAGGTGCAAAGAAGTTCACTACCAAAATTGGAAATCTGCAAAGGAGAAACAATGAGAATCAGCTAATGTACAATACTAAAATGTAGAAACTGTTTAGCAAGAAATCAGGTTCACAATTTAGATAAGATTCACTCACCGGTGAGCTACTCTATCAAAATTACGGCCAGTTAGTGAAATGGAACCTTCAGTATACTCTTCATCTACATCCTCATCATGTTTAATAGCATTTGCAATTGATCCAGTTTCAAATTCAGAACCAGTATGTCTCAAATTAGAATCTATAGAATACTTGCGAACTGTTTTTGTTATATTCAATCTATTCTGAGGAAGGAAGGACAGTTCGGTCAGGCTCATAATTCAGAAGTAGAATATAAAATGAAGATGCCAAATTAGATAACACAATAACGGGGTTAGCTTTCTGCTTCCCACTACAGCGATTTTAAGAAAGAAGATCTAGTTACATATCAAATATGCTAGATTTACTAAACATGCATGCACCTATCCACCCACCCCAGAAAGTTGCAAGGAATGTAAAGTGTAGAGGCAAACACATAATTCTTGTGAACAGTAATTGAAAAACCTGTTTATAATTGAATCAATTCTCAATAAAAAAGACTGTTTATAATCAAATCATCTCTCCATAAACAGAACTTTTCAGAATTGAGAGTGGCAGGCAAAGAAATCCAGATGTATGTGATGGCGTGATGCTGAAACTTACTGTTCCTAAGACATCACTAACATCCACTGATGCAAACTCACATGACAATGCTGGAAAACTGCAAAACAATTTGATGAAAAATTTATTGAAAGGTTAATGTAATTGGTTGCTGGGCTCATGTGTCTTGAAGACAAATAAAAGCTATCTGTAAATGACAAAGAAACTGTATGAAGCAGCACCTCATATCAAAATCAATTATCAAGAAATCTCCATCTGAACTCTTGTCAACAATAACAGAGGTTGTGGTGCTCATTGTCAAGTAGTCATTTAGTTCCTGTAAATATAGACATAACAAATCTTTAAAAAAAAAATCCTTTTTTTTTTAATACTCCTTTTTTTTTTTTTTCCTTTTTCTTCTTTTTCAAGGAAGTAAGTAACTATGGTGTACTAAAACAGAAAAAGACAACATTCTGAGAACAAGGGAAAAATATGTTGGAGAGGTTCAAGCAGAAGACATATTATAAGAGCAAAATACAAATTTTGAATAACAGCTTTATTAAAGCAAACATATGGCAGATCTCTTTGGAAAGTCATAAACATTCACTCACCTTTCACATCTAGAATAGGCAGATAGAGTCAAGCAACAATTACTAATTTCTTACCATTCCAAATAAAAGGATCATGAAAAAGGCTGCTATAATGGACAATCCAGCACCAGTTAATGATGCCTCTGTCAGATCTCTGGGTATTTTCCTATGTAGAAAAGAATTCAAAAGTAAGACAACCATCTAACTCAGTTACAATGACCATACCAAGAAATAAGAAACAATGCATGCAACCCAAAAAGAGAGAGAGAGTCATTTTTTTTTTCTTTTCATGAATGAACATAGTGCAAGCACGGTAGTTTTTAACATGCCAGATTCTAATTATCCCCTCCTACTCTCTTTCCTCTTCTTGTTTCAGAAATTTAGTATGTCATAAGAAAACTTCAAGCTCATAAATTAAACATTTCCAAAAACAAAGGGCCAAACTTAGGATAAGTAAAACAATTATTGTTGTTTTCCAAAAAAACAATTATTGTTGGTTTCATTGTAAGGAAAATATCATAACAATGCCATTGGCTTATTTGCAGACTGACAGAATAAGCATTCATTTAAATTTCTCTCTCCTCCATTTCCTCCCACCAGAAAGTCCTACTTCCCCAAATAGAATCCTTTCTTCCACTTCTGATTTATGATTACAACATTACAATTATTATTGATACACACCAGTTACAGTCATTGGCATACAATTTCTTTGTACTAATTACAACAACAAATACAGAACACCTCAATCAATCTAAGGGATAAAACACTGCCATAAACAAGGACTATACACCCAAACTCAGCATTGCTTGCAGGGGACTTATTCCCCGACCTTAAAATAGACAAATATTCATTTCTAGACAAACAGGTGATCTAAGCATAAGTTTTCCAAGGTTCCATCCCTACACCACTACTTCTACTTGGACATTATCCTATTCGCAAAACAACAGTGAGTTAGCACTAATTCATGGCTTAAAGTACTTGATCAATTTATTGTTTTCAGTCAGTCTTTACAGCTAATTAAAGTATCAAAAGATCAAATGCATCATCAAGTGAAAACAACTTAACCTCAAACACCTAAAACTTAAGAATTAGTTACTATATCCGAAAATCAAATAATAATTCCAGTCATATTCCCAGAACCAAACAATGTTCAATAAATGCAAAACATAGAAGCATTCCAAAAAATAATACTCCGTAATAATAAAGGTCATTTGAATGGCTAACCTGTAAAAATCAACAGATTTGATTTTACTTTTTGAAGTCATGATTTCTGACGAAGAAAAGCAAAAAAAAGAAAAAAAAATCTTAAACTTCAGCTGTCAAGATCCCTTTGTGTCTTTTTTTTTTTTTTTTGAATAAGATCCCTTTGTGTCTATGTGTGACAGAGAGAGGCGTTTAAAAGCCGTATTCTCTCTCGCTCTCTAACGCATGGCCGGAGTTCTGCAGTCGCCGGAAAAAAAGGAAAAGAGCAAAGTTGGAGTGAAAAGGCAGGGTGGGGCCCGATTGGAATACCCGCCCGATTGTAGGTACAACTGTGCTCAACGATCTGTTGCACCATGCACCATGCATGGTGCACACGGTTGCAAAACGACGTCGTTTTGACTAAAAACGCGTGTCCTAATTAAAAAAAGAATAAATTGTACTTTAGGTCCTATGAGTATTAGGGTACTGACAATTTGAGTACGTGACTTTCAAAACTCCCAATTTAAACCTTTAACTATGCAATTTTTGGCACTTTTGGTCCTCCGGGCCAAATTGTCGGCCAATTTTGGCCGGAAAAACATAAATTGGTTCAAATTGTTTTTTGACGAGGGTAAAATTGTCATTTCACACTCTTCTTCTTCATTCACCCCTTCTTCTTTCTTCTTCTTCTTCGTTCTTCTTCTTCTTCATCCTTGCACTGGGCATCAGCTACTCAATCTCCACTCACCAAAAACACGGACAGGATCCGGGGGATTTCCGGCGGCGAGAGGCGGCGCGTGTCCATTGGCGTGGAGGTTTGAATGTGGCGATTCTGGAAAATGCTTCAAAGTCACATTCTTGCTCAATCCCCTGCACCGAGTTTGTTAATTATTGATTATTGATTATTGATGTGATATGGATTACGGTAGTATGTTAATAAGTTAGCATAGGAGGTTTGAATGTGGATTACGATAATGTCGACCGTTATAGACCATACGAAGTTAAGGATAGCAGTGGCGGTAGTGGACGACGGAGACGGCGGAGGCATGGCGATTGAAGGCGAGGGAGCGGCGGCGGCGGCGGCACTGGACACCGGATAAGCGACGGAAACAGGGGACGACTCAGCTTCTGCGGCGGAGGAAGGCGATGGCGATGGAGTCGCAACGAGAGGAGCGGGAACTGGGGTCGGTGGCTCCGCTGCGGAATACGGCGATGGAGCGGCGGCGAAACTCGGTGCAGGGGTGGCAGCAAGCCTATGGTTTTCTTTTGCAAGTTTTTGCATCTCTGCATGTTGTGTGGCAAGCTTCTGCTCTATAATCTCAGGATGAGGAAGCATCTCAAATGGAGGGAAACCACTAGGTGGGGGCCGAATCGAATGACCATAAGGATCAGGATGCACAGTGCTTGGCCTGCTATCTAGATTGGACTGCTATCGAATGACTCCTATGTTGAGCGAAGAAGAAGAAGAACGAAGAAGAAAGGGAGAATGAAGAAGAAGAAGGGAGTGAAATGACAATTTTACCCTCGTCAAAAAACAATTCGAACCAATTGATGTTTTTCCGGCCAAAATTGGCCGGCAATTTGGCCCGGAGGACCAAAAGTGCCAAAAATTGCATAGTTAAAGGTTTAAATTGGGAGTTTTGAAAGTCACGTACTCAAATTGTCAGTACCCTAATACTCACAGGACCAAAAGTGCAATTTGTTCTTAAAAAAAAAAATTCAGTTTCGATTCTCCTCAACAACATTATTGTGGATATATAGTTATGAATTTGTGGATATATAGTTATGAATTTGTGGATATATAGTTATGAATTTGTGAATATATAGTTATGAATTTATGGATATTTAGTTCATTCATTGTGGATATTTAGTTCATTCATTCTGAATTTTGTATTATTCCTTCATTGTGGATATATAGTTATGAATTTGTGGATATATAATTCAAATTATGCACACACAAAATGCTATTGCCGAGAATTGAACCTGAATTTCTTTTTTTAAAGTGTGACGCGCATTTTTAATCAAAACGACGTCGTTTTTGCAACCGTGTGCACCATACATAGTGCACACGGTTGCACAGCATAATTTGCGGTGCTCAACGGAACTTACTATACTCCCGTATTATAGTGCGATTCCTTGAACAGGATGAAAAGGTCATTTGCCAAAATACCGTAATACGGATTACGGAGTACTCCGTAGTATTTTATATAAATAAAACTACATCTAACCAGCTTGGTTGGCGTGAGTGGCCATGCACTTTGAGGTATGAAAAACTCATTCATTATTGTGTGGACCATGATCCACACAAGCTCTATGCACCATATTTTATTACTGTAAAATAATGTGCATTCAGTACAAAAATAATGTACTTTTAGTATATTGTATTCAGGGGATGTATATTATATTGTATAATGTATATTCAATACACAAATAATGTACATTTAGCATATTAAAAATGTACTTTTTTTATTATGGTCCACACAATAATTTGCCTGAAAAAACACTAGTACTATTCCCCTTAATTGGGCCGAAAAAATAAAACTACATCTAGTAGCATTGGGTAGTGGGTACTCCTATTTTGGCAAATTATATCGTGCACCGCGGTGCATAATCAATTATGCCCCGAGCTTTAAAACGACGTCGTTTTGTTTAATGAAAAGAAACGGCACTCGTTTCGCGTCGTTCCGTAAAAAATAACTCTGTTATTTAGTTTATACACTCAAATGTGTGAAAATGTTATTTAATTTTATTTTATATATACACTATAGTTTCATTAAAACACAACTGCATGATCATTTCGATATAACTACAGCTTCATTGCACAATATACACTCAAATATGTGATATGTTATTCAGTTTCATTTTATATACACTGCAATTTTATTTCACCACAATTACAGTATCATTTTGATATAATTGCAGTTTCATTTGATAATATATAAAATAATACGTGAGGCAGTGTCGGTTTAGATACACTATAATGTCAGTTGGTAATTAACACACACAAAAATGCGCACTCCGATAACAGTAACGGCGCACCACGGTCCACAATATAATGACCCTCCTATTTTCTACTATTTATGGAGGTGCCATGTTTTAATTGATTTTTAAAAAATAAAATGGATCACTATTTTTATTCATTTTTTGTCTAATAAAATTTATACATGTGGCGAGAGTTGTACTCTATGAGAGTATATCTATCCTTTTTCAATGCAAAATGACTTGGGGTATTTAGAAGATGGTTTATTAATCAAAATTTAGCTTGTTTAATCAATTTTAGTTGTTTGACTAGTTAAACTTAAATAACTAATACGAGTGTTTTGTAAGCAATTTTTTGACTTGGCTTATTAATGCCAATAATTTGAAAATAAAAAAGTTATGTTCAATAACTTATTAATATGAGCTTATTATTTTTGTTTTACAAGTCTAATTTATCTTTAATAGTTATTAGTTATTGTAGGATTTATATTTATTCAATTTTTATTTAGATTTGTATTTTGAATATCATCATAACCATCTAAAACCCTCTGAAACATGCTACAAGTTAAATTAACAATTAAACAAACAATAACACCTTGATACTTGGCAGTTATTAACCGTTAACAACAATAACTCATTTTAATGATTTTGTAATAAGAATTTAACAGGTAATAATATTATTATTATTTTTCTTTATAACAAGTAACTATTAATCAAGACAATGAAATAATAAAAGATAATGCTACTGAAATATGTTTACAATTAATTTGTGGTTGAGTTGGGTCTTGATTTGTTATCTTTTAATAACGTAGGTGCGTTGTTATACCATGATCAGGGTCCACCTTAAAAGATGGATCTTGGTCTTAAATGACGTATAAATTGTGTACTTTTAATATTAACATTATGATTTTATAGAATATAAATTGTGTTTTTAAGTCAAAACATATAATAGTGAATTTGTTGATACAATATAGGGTCATCAAATCTTAATATGCTAATATTTAGTGACGACAGTATTTGAAAGAAACTTATAAATACAAAACAAAGTAATCAATTACATATATGTTAACATTGTAGGTTCATAGTATTACAAATTACAAACTTTTAAAGGATAAATTGTGAACACGGATCCACGGAATAATTTGCGAATGTAGTTTGTTATTTTAACAATCAAAATTTAGGCGATCTAACGTTGAGGTGTCAACCTATAGATACCAAAACTTTATTTGTTTTAATTTTTAAAATTGAAACATCACTAATTTTAAATTTTGTTCATATATATTCGTTACCTTTTAACTTTTTAAATTGATTTAGGTAGGCGGATTATAACGCCAAATATTAAATTAACTAACTTAATAAGTGATTTTGACATCAACAGCGCATCTGGTGTAGTGGTATCATAGTACCCTCCCACGGTACTGACCAGGGTTCGATTCCCTGGATGCGCATTTTGATTGTTTCAACGTTAGACCCTGTTCTACAGGGTTAATTCAGACATTAGTAGTTAATTTCATTGAGGTCTAAAACAAGTTTTTTAGAATTGTATGTATATCACTTTGTAAATGTTCCTTGAAAGATGATAAGGATAAAACTTACAGTAAGTCCAATATATTATCAAAGCATTATGGAACTTGTTGCTTAACTTAAAAATTTAAGTTTATTATCAAATTCATCATGGGGATATTACTAATGTATTATGGTAAAAATTCAATCATCAAAAAATAAAAATCAGACTCTGCAAACAATACATTTAGTTCATCACAGATCAATGGCAAATAATGAATTGAAGATAAAGACAATCCCAAGTTGCAGACAAAAACTATTGAGCATTTGATAAATCTGTCTAAAAGAAGATAAAATAAAAAAATTCCCTGTTAGCATGTGAAAGAAGACAAATCATGTACAATCCGCATTATCAATTTATCATCATGTAAAAAGTAGCAAAAAGGACACAAGATCAAATAATGTATTACTTTTTGAATTTTATGTACTATTTTTTATTTTTGTAAAAGTTTAACCTTTTATATATATATATATATATATATAAATAAGCAATGATGTAATCTTTTTATTATATATAAACCACCATGTAAATGGTTGTTGAAATATGATAAGGATACGACAAGACACATGAAACAATTAAAAGTAAAGAAGTGTTCCAAAAATATAAATGAAGACTTATCATCCTTATCAATAAATTGGCATTCTTAAGCAATTTCCCTGCTTACATTCAAAAAAAAAAAAAAAAAAAAAAAAAAAAGCAATTTCCCTGCTTTAACAAGATCCAAAGTGATCCAGTGTTTTGCCTCTATAATGTCTTGATATTTGTTGATAATAATAGTGATAATAATTTGTTGATAAAAATAATAACTCCTCATTTATCTTTCGAACATTTCTTTGCTATTAATTGATTCTTTGTTTTAATAATCTTTCAGATGTGTATATCACATCTAAATCTTTTCACTAATTTCACATATATTTCTCTTAATCTTTTTTTTTTTTTCTTAAAAAAATCGGTTGTAGTCTATATTTTTCAGTGGATCATAACGCACGCCAAATATGAAAATGATATATATTTAAATTAATAAGTGATTTTAACATCAACAGCGCATCTGGTGTAGTGGTATCATAGTACCCTCCCACGGTACTGACCGGGGTTCGATTCCCCGGATGCGCATCATAATCCAATTCGTTTTTGGACTTTGCCTGTTTTATACTACGAAAATATGAATAAGATATTTATACATGGGTGTGATCACTAGAAATATTTGTTAATAAGCAGGCCGCCATGTCAAAAAAAAAAAAAAAAGAATAGGCAAAAGTGAGAAAATAAAATATAATGATTTTTATTTTTTAGAACTAGACGTGCGATGTGTAAATACATATGCTTAATATTTATATTTTTAAAAATAATTAATAAATTTTTACTAATTAAAATTAAAATAAAATAAAATTATTTATTATATTAATTTAATATATAATGTTTACAAAGAATGTGTGTATGATTGGTACTTTTGATGTTAAAGAAGCTGAAGCTATTTGTTTGGGAGAGGGTGTTGATGTGGAGATGGACTCCCATGTTGTTTTTAATGCTATTACTATTTTTTTTTAAACTCTATTTTTAGTTTGTTAGTTGATGATATTAAAGAATTGGCATGTGATTGATGATGTCGAATTCTGTTTTGTTAAGCCATCTGCGTATTGTGCCGCCCATATTGTTGCTATGGAGGTCTTTTCTGTGTTAGGTTGCTGGGAGTGATTTGATGTTCCCCTGTTTTCTTTGAGAATATTTTTACACGTGATTTAATGCATTAAATTTTCATTTCAAAAAAAAAAAAAAAAAAAAAAAAAAAACTT